TTTAATCTAGCTTGCGCTCACTGTTGTACACGGAAGCAGCTCCGGGCGGATGACGTATGAGGTCGGCGTTGCGCATGCGCCGCTCAGAAATGTGCAGGGGAGAGATCAAAACAAAACAACGGTCACGAATTAGAAGTACAAAATGAGGATTTGTAAAGAAGAATGTTGGAGGAGTTCGATATAAGCCAAGAGGAGACTGGTTCTCCTTTGCTAAAGTAAGGAAACTTTGCTTCCTTTGCTCCTGTAAACAAACTTTGGTTTTCACGAGACTCATCGGCGCATGCGCAACACCGACATCTTACGTCATCTGCCCGTAGCTGCTTCCATGTACAACTGTTGGCGCAAGCTAGATTAAAGTGATTATTACGTTTTGAATATGGATATTTTTCTTATAAAAACGCATCGATTCGCAACAGGACGCCTTTGTTCACCCCCGGAGCCGTGTGAGGCACTTTTTATTATGGATGGATGAGCTTTATTTCACTTCTTTTGGACTGAAGCACTGCAACACCCGCTGACTGCCATTAAACACCTTGAAAAATCAAAGACGATTTTTAATATAACTCCGATTGGATTCATCTGAAAGAAGGAAGTCATATACGCCTAGGATGGCTTGAGGGTGAGTAAATAATGGGCTAATTTTCATTTTTGGGTGAACTATCCCTTTAACTTACAGATTTGTTCTCTTTTTTTTGGTTACTAGCTTCACAAAATGTAGACTGCTATCTAACAAATGGCCAAATATTGGCTTTAAAATAATGATTATCTGTATCTGCAAATTTTGCGCATATTGTTGCACTTAAATTATATATACAAATCCCCCCACCAAATCATAAATATATAAAACACAAACTGTAATTTATTTCTAGACGATGTCATGTGCCTTAAGTTAAGTTTAATGGAAATCCATTTGAACTTTTGGAATTCCCCTCATCAGAACATTTTTATGCCAAGTACTTTTGCCTGTAAAACACCCACTATTACAGTACCAGTTCTAGTACCATTTATTAGTGCCCGTCTAAACTAGTAAACAGGAGTACCTTGAACTCCAGCAGCTCTGGTCTGTGAAAGAATGAGTTCAGACACTGAGAGCAGGGGATCTTGGTGACTGTCTGCGCCAAACCACTGGAAGTGGTAGTCTTCACTGATGAGCTGGAGTCTGAGGAAGCAGGTTTGGGGGCAGCAGGTTTTAGGGTAGATGTGTTGTTGCTTGTAGAGGTTACAGCATTTACCGGCAAGATAGGTTTCGTCTTACTGAAGGACTCCTGAAGTAACAAAAAAAAAAACTCAAATATAACAAAATAGCTCTACTTCTGTGAATGACATATCTTGAAAGGGGACATCGGATGCCCATTTCCCACATGTTGGTATGATTCTATAGGGTCTTCATGAACTGTCTGGAACATACTTTGGTCAAAATTCCTCAATGGTCGTGTAAAACAACACTCTTTTTACCTTGTCAAAAACAGCTCTGTACACAGCGACCCGTTTCGGTGTATGTCTCTTTAAATGATAATGAGCTGCTGCTCATCCCACCCCTCTCTTCCGTAGGGCTGTTAACACCACTCGCCATTCCCAACACAAATCCTTTTCATAAAGTAATGCGTTTTGGACAAAATAACGATTTCACAGAAATAGCGAGTCGCTATCATTAGGGCACTATACATTCAAATATATATATATATATATAGGAAAGGCGACTTGCAAACAATCATAAATATAAAGTGTGAGACTTACTACTTCTGGAGGTGCAGCTGAATCACGAACAGCGGGTATTGATCCATCCTTGAGTCTTAACTTGCCTTGAATTGTCCCTCATTCAGAAAGCAGTCTGGAGTAAAACGATTTGCGCAGACATAAACGAATTGAGGTGTATTCGGTGGCGCGTTACCATTAAAAGCAAAACGAACCCACTGCGTTCTCAGTGGCTCTGGTGTCGGGAGAATATGATGACTCCTATGTTCACTTTTACATCCAACTACAAAACACCTGCATTGCTTTCGAGACATTGTTGACGCTAAAGCTGTTGGAGCGCAAAGAAAATGGCAGACACAGTACAACTGGCCGAGGGCGGGGCCTGAGCAGTGTGACGTCATACTGCTCAGGAAATGAAAACGCTTCATAATTTACCATATCAAAGACACTAGAAGGCAAGCCTGCAACCTTTAGCCAAAAAAGCGTAACTGCTAATGCTAACGCTTCCGGTTTGCCAGTACGTGGGAAAGGAGACAAGAGGCCGTTTTTTTGAATGGATGTCAATGGAGGAGAGGCTTCACTACGCTGAATAAAGAGCTTTTTAGAGGATAATTTAATTAATCGACAGCCTATAAGCTAATCTCCAACATGCTTTACACTAAGCAATACTTTTGGATTGAACTATTTTTAGAGTTTACACCGAAAAAAATGCCGTTTTATAAGAGAAATCACTGACTTTTTGCGACAGGTGGGATTCAACTTACGGCATTTCTCGTTCATTCCTATGGTATCCGTAAAAGGCAATTGAGTGTCGCACAACTCTGACTGAAATTCAATGATGTCAAGGCTGTAATGTGATTGGTTAAGGCACACGTGATCCAAGTTGACTGTTAAGCGTTCCCCAATAGTAAGTAAAACAGACCTTCTTAATCTTAATTTGTGTTCCGAAGATGAACGAAGGTCTACAGGGCTTGGAACAACATGAGGGTCAGTAACTAATGACAGCATTTTCATTTTTGGGTGAACTATCCCTTTACTACTACTACTACTACGAAAAACATCTTTTTAGAGGAAACAGCTTATCATTTAATAAACCAACAGCCTGTCAGCTAATCTCCAACATGTTTTACACTAATCAATACTTTTGGATTGAACAATTTTTATAGTTTACACCAAAAAAAAATGCAGTTTTATAAGAAAAGTCACTGACTCTTTGCGACAGGTGGGATACAGCTTACGGCATTTCTCATTCATTCCTATGGTATCCATAAACGCGATTGAGTGTCACACAACTCTGACTGAAATTCATTGACGTCAAGGCTGTAGTATTATTGGTTATAAAGGCACACCTGATCCAAGTTGACTGTTACACTTTCTCCAATAGTAAGTAATACAGACCCTCTCATCTCCCTATAGTAAGACAATAATCTCTGACCATATGCACTGAGCGTTCCTTAGAACTTCCGCATAAAGATAAGCCAGCTCGTAAACTTCCGTGGAAGCATCATTTGATGTTGAGGTATATACAGTTAGATACTCATGAGACCCTCACAGAAACCTCTCCTGCCTCGTTCTTGTCAGAAACTGAGAAACTAAATAATTGCAAAACCGTAAATAATGATAGCGGCATTAACATACAGTTTCATGTTATTTAACAATATTTTATGCTTACAACTAAACACTATCGTAACTTTAGGCTAACGTTAGCTAGCTAGAGATGCTATCTCGTAAACGACTTCGTAATGGTATTCTTAATAATCAATACCTTCAGTTTTTAAAACACTTAATATTTTAAAGCCTTTATTATTTCTCAATGCTACAGCTGTGCAGTGAAATTCACTTTAAAGATTCACTTTTCATTCATAAAGATGACATGATAAATGTGCCAAAAATGTCTCCTGGTGGAAAACAAAGACTTCTTCAGATGAAATTGACATGAAATTAGCATTATAACCAGTAGATGGCAGAAGAGGATCACAGCAGTTGCCACTTCAACTCCCTAGTTTTTTTTTTTTCGACGTCTTGCTTTTGAATTTATTATAACATGACTATTATAACAAATTTTAGGATTTTTACTGTACTGAAGTATAAAGTATAGCAAGTGCAGGAAGTCACGAAGTCTCATGTCATTAAAAAAATAATAAAAATAATTAAGCCCAGACACCAACAGCCTAGAAGGGAAATTATTTACTTTTTCAACTTTAGTTAGTCTGTAATGTTGCTGTTTGAGTATAAAAAAAAGATCTGCGAAGTTACAAAGCTCAAAGTCCAATTCTTTTATTTAACAGAAATCATTTTTCAAAAACTACAACGAACGACTCGTTTGGACTACAACGCATATTTTCCGGGATTTGTGATATCACAAATACCGACGAGTGGGAGGAGACCAGGTTGAGCTGCACTAGAGAAGGCAACTAGTGTTATCACTATGTCGGAGACACGCTAGCTTTCCCAAGGCAGACGAACTTAGAGTGGTTACAGTCATCTGGGTTTAAATCGCGCTCAAATTGATTTGATTTTGACGCCATATTTACACTGAAGCTCACAGGCGGCGATGGTAAGGGGCATGACATTTTCCAACCAGGCGTCGAGTGCTGCCAATCACAACACACACTGGCCCAGCTAACCAATCACAGCACA